AAAACAAAGCAAAGCAAAACAAAACCAATACTGCACAGCATTTAGTGTACTCTGAGATTCATAAGGGAAGTGCCCCCTCTTGCTGAGCACCCCAAGAGTGGGCCTGGAAACCTTAACGGGGTGCAGTGTTGCTGGGCACGCTGACTGGCTAAGTCCAGGCTTACCCTGACTGGGTTCCAATTCTGGTTCTGCCACTAAGTATTCATATATTAGTATTAATATATTAATAAGTATTAATAGAACTGTTTTCAATTTATGCCTTAGCTTCTTTGTCATTAAGTGGGAATAACAATCATACCTACCCCATGAATTCTGGTGAGAATTATATGAGATAATAAATACACAGAGAGTACTTAGAGCAGTGTCTGACACAGAGTAAATGCTCAATAAATGCTAGTTATTATTGTTATAAAAAGCAGAAACAAATGATTATATTTCCCAGATTTCTGCTGGTTTTTTTTTTTTAACATTCTGCTGGGGGTATTTTTCATAGATGATGTGCGTTTAACAAGAGAAGGACTGCTCGCTGACATGGAGCCGAGCAGCCAGCATTCCGGGCTGAGGTCCTGCAGCAGCGGAAGCTGGTCTTGGGGAGGGTCGTGGGGCGGGGGGAGGGAGGCTGCGCTGGGTGCAGGTTCTGGGTGCTCTGAGCTCCTCCCTGCTTCTTTCACCGACTTGCTTCTAGTGCGTTCCTTCCCTTGTGACTCCTGCCTGTTGCTTCACATGAGCTATTTCCAGCTCTTTGCCTTTCTCCCTGTGACGAAGATGACGGACGTGATGCAAGCAACATGTTCTCAGATGTGAGCATTTGAAAGGCTGTGTCATTACAGGAATAATTATAACTGCTTTATTATGAGTCTCTGAGCCTCCAAGTAACCTTTAATAATCAATAGCTTTTCTTCTGGAGGTTTCGTTGCCTGGTTTTCGAAAGAACAGTTATGTAATGAGTGAAAGCTGCCAGCCTGGGCTGCTGGGGGAGGGTGTGGCTGCCAAGCGCCTGGGAGCGAGTCTGCCCTGCGACCACCTTCCTTGGTCTTTGAGGCTCCGCTTCCCATGCGCTCCCACCACCATGTAAACAACACTTGCTGTTTAACCTTTTGGGGGATGATGGATGTATTGAAATCCAGCCTAAACCCACAAAAATTTGCATCTACTTTCAAGAGATTCTTAGAACCTCTGGAGCCCTACTCAGTAGGCCCAAGCTAAGGGCCTTGCCCAGAGGATCTACCTCAACGGATAGCCACGTGTTACACATATTCTACAGGGTCTCCAAAACTGGAACTGGACCAGACCGTAGAGCTCACCTATCCAACCCTACTCCCAAGCATATAGATGGGGAAGCTGAGGCCTGGAAGCGGGCAGAGAGCTGGGCATTGGCCCCATCTCCAGCTCCCTCGTCTGCAGCACCCTGAGCCATGCTTCCTCCTATGCACCCCCTTGGTTGATTTCAATAATCACCTGCCTCTGTGCCCCGATGAGTCTCACCACCATGTGACAGGTACAACAAAAGTCAGTTCCATATCTTGTTCTGATGAATGTCTTATTACAAAGTGTTCTCTTGTGGGCTGAAACATATTCTTTAGCTCTGTGGGAGGATTTCAGAACAAAGCTAATTCCCTTGATTGTATCTCTTCCAAAGATGCCTCTTTGCTTCAGTAGTTTTATTCCTATGGTTAAAACTCCCAGTGAGAGAAAGGGTGGATGGCATCCATAATATTTTTCAATGCCCCTTCCATTCCTGTTTACCCAACACTTACTGAGCACGTTATTGATGTATACTTGGGAACTTTGGCTAAAATAGATTTTTGCATCTTCTTGATACCAGTAGGAAGATTGTCCTAATGAGGAGTTCAAATTCTTTAAAAATAAATATAATTTAAATATTATTTTTAACTGCAGAGTAAATAATATAAACGTAACCCTACTGTTACAGTGCATCCACCCTGGGCCAGGCACTGACTGCAACTCACTGCTTACACTCTATCAACTTCCCCTACAGAGAAGTCCCGGCCTCACTGTGTTAAGTGTGTTATGCACTCAATCTCCACAACGTCTTATCTGGAAGTGACCATGCTGACATTTTATACTCAAGGAAGTTAATTTGCCCACATTATCTCCTGGTAAGAATTTAAGCCAGGTCTCTTGAGAGCCTGCACTCTCAGTGCCCGGCTATTGTGGACACTCCCTGATCTCAGCTGCAGAATATTAAGGACTAGATTCCAAGATTTCACATGATAAAATAAAATATGTTTCTACAATAGCTCTTAAATACTCATTTAACTATTGAATATAACAGGAAATTTAACTTCTGAAGACAATATTTTTATGCCATATTGTTAAATGCACTTTCTATGAATATAATTAATTCCAGTTTTCAGATAATTTTACTGTAATGCACAGTTGGATAACTTCCTGAGAATTCATCTAGTGCAGTACTGGTGTGTGGAAAATGTTCTCATTGTCTCATTGGGTAAGGGGAGGACATAGTATAAGCAAGAGACTTTGGGATGAGTCAACATTGGGTTTGATTTTGTCTTAGACCTGTTGCTTAGAGGATCTGAACCTATTTTCTCACCTGAAGAATGGCTCAAAGAATGACTACCTTGTAAATATGTTTGAGGAAAAATGAGACCAAGTCTGTAAAGCTCCTGGCACAAGCCCTCAATCAGTGGTAGTTATTATATTTAGCTGAGAAGAGGCAATGGGAAATCAAGACTGTCTCTATTTTAAGCATTATTTATCATAAAGGAATATTAAAACTATAGTACATACCTTTGTTTTAAAATCAAGGTGAAGACAGTGTCCACATGCAAAATCTTCCAATTTGAGGTGCCTGTCTTGGTGGCTGTCTTTTCCCAAGCTATTTTATAAGCTTCATCAGGTCATTGATGTTTAATTTTCATGCATGCCACACCCCTACAGTTCAGGAAGGCTGGCCTAAAAGCTCAGCTCTGTACCAAACACAAAGATGGGATGTTGTGTCCATTCTCCTCCCCCAATTTCCTTCACAGCTGCTCCCTGAAGAAGAAACGAGATATTGTTTGTGTATGTGTGTGTAAGAGAGAAACAGTGCATTTTCATTCAAAACATCTTTTATGCTATGTGGATTTTTCTAATTTAACTTTTTCAGCTAGAGTGCACTTTTAAGTTCCAGCAAAATGTGTTGCAATATGTTTTCAAACATCTGGTATTTATTTTTCATTTTTGTGTAAATGAAAAATCAACAAGCCCATTTCCTGAAATGGAGCATGGGCTTTACCCCATGTGGTCCCTGGCCTGGCATGTGGCTCAGGAATCAGAGTTGGCTTCCTGCATGGCCCTGGGCAGGGCCCCCACTTCTCTGAGCCTCAGTCTCCCCATTGTGAAGGAGACTGTCACTTCTGTCTCCACCGGAGCTGGATGTATAGGGGAGATACCAGTTCAGTAACAGCGGAGGCTAAAAGTTGAGAACACCAGAGGTGTCTTCTGCAGCTCCTCTCTCTGTCCCCTCAGGACCCTCCCAGCTGCACATCCTAGGCGGCCCGTTACTGCTTGCAAGTGGGGGAATGAGGTGCGGATTTAAAACCAGGGATACTTTTTGTCCACCCTCCTCTCTCCTTGTGGAATGAACAACTTTGGCTCTTGGGAATGGGATTCTATGCCTTCGTGATAGGCAGGAGGTATTTTTAGTGGCATTTAGATAAGATGGCACCTTTGTAACAGACTCAGATCCCTGAATGAAATTTATTATCAAATATAGAAGCAATAGAGAGAAATTTATAGCGCTGGGCCTTATAAACATGAAAACAACAGCAGTGAATCCTTAACATACCAAACACTGAGAGCTCTTTCTTTGGAATGTTTTTTACTTTTTCAGAAAAATAAGGAATTCGTATTCCCGCTCAGGGCCTGGCTCTCGCTGTGCTCCGGCAATGCCCTCCCCTCGGAACTCTGCATGGCTCCCGCCTCATTCCAGGTCCCTGCTCAAATGGCACTTTTCCTTAGGGCATTAACTGCCATGACAGTTGTATTTAACTCACTCTAGTTTTGACCCCGGGGACCACGTGAAGCATACTTACTTGTTGATGTTCTTACTGTGATAATTTTATTGACAATTTAATCCTAAAAATGTGGATTAAATGAATAGAAGTCAATAAATTTCATTTTCTATTTATGTTTACCTTTAAATTACACTCGAAGTTTTTATTCTATTTTTGTAATAAAACATTGCGGCCCCAAGTTTTTGTATTTTTGTGTGGCAGTCCATGTGTGCAAAGGCCTTCCTGACCTTTTAAAAACAGCACTCTTGTCATTGTCACCTTCCCTGCTTCTTTAGATCCTCATCACATCTTTACCTGAAATTGTATACTTTATTTATATATTGTCTTGCTTAGTGTGTCTTCCTCGGTATGCGATAAACTCTATGAGTGCAGGAATCTGTCTCATCTACTCACTGCTGTACCCCAGTGGCTAGAGCACATAATAGGTGCTTAATAAATGGTTGTAAAGTGCCTGCTATCCAAAGAATTTAATGAGTATTCTCAGTATAGAAAAAGGACTAGAGGTAATATTCAAGAGATTTCTATTTGAATTGTTTTCCTGGGAAAGCACTAGCCTGTAAGTTTGTGACCTCTTCACTTGCATCACATTTGTCACCAAGAATTGCCTGTCATTGAAGAAATACACAATTGGCCTCTTTCACCTTCATGAAAGGAGTATTTCCTTCTACTCCAAACAGTTGCAGTTTTCCATAAAGCGATGTTGTTTAAGTTTCCAAATGTGTACATTGGAGTTGGATATGTCTGTGTATGTTATCTCTCAGGACTGGACTGATAACTGTGGAGCTAAAAGTACTAGTCTAGGAGCCACAGCATAAGAAAAATCACATTATCTTTCTAGGTCTCGGTTAATTTTTTCCTGTAAATCTTAGCAGATGATATAGTAATGATTTAGAGAAATCCTCTCTGTATATGTTTCTGGAATGTAGAGCCAATCACAAGTTCTTGACCATCACAAAACAAATCAGACCTATGTTCTAAGTTTTTATTTTTAATTCCAGTATAATGCAAAATTTTTCTAAACAAAATAGTATCAAAAATTCAGGACTCAGAAAAAGACATCTCAGAGATAACCATTGTTATGTTTGTATTTATCTTTTGATCATTCTATACAGATCCTAACATACTAATAACAATATCCAGTGTTCCGAAACTTGCTTTTTTCATGTAACAATGCATCTGTCTATATCAGTACACATAGATCTACCTCGTTTTTTCAACTGCTGCTTTTATCTGACAGCACATTTCTTAAGGAGGCAGCCTGTGGATTTACAGGAAAGTATTTCTTTGGTTGGGTGACCTTCATCCATCATGTAGGTGATTGACTCAGTGGTTTCAATATAAGACCCACAAGGAAGATGGAATTATTTTGGTGGACAGTTTGTGGCAAGAAATAGAGAACTATCTCATCTCTTAAAAAAAAGTTGTCTTGATGAAAAATTCTTTATTTATTAATAAGTGGTTCTTTCAACTACCAGAGTAATCCTGTATGCTTTTCTAAAGTGATTTTTCTTTGTCAGTTAAACTAAAGGGGGAACACAACTGTACTTTTCATGTGAAAACCCAGACTGAGAGGTTTCAATAATTCATATTCCCTCTAAGACTCAGCTCGAATGTCCCACCTCTGGGTTTCTTCCTGGACTCTACCCATGCCATGCAGAGTCCTTCAGTCTCTGCTTTGTGCTTTCACAGCACCTGTCCCTCTGTCCTCAGCGCTTCACTGTGCCCATGCCCCCATCTCCCTCTGCAGACTGTCAGATCGTTCAGAGTAGGTTTGTCCTTTTATTCCTGGTACCTTGCATGATGCCAGACACATAGCAAGTGTTTACTAAGTGCTATTGTGAGGATGACTAAATGAGTAGTAGAATGTTTGAGTCTCAGGTCTTGCAGGGATTAATGTATATATTATACTTCATGGTTCATTCGGTCGCCCTCTTTCCCCTCCTTCCTGCCCCCTGGTGGCCATTTCGTTTATTACTAGAAGCTGTAACCAGTTGAGGGTTGAATGGTGCCAGCCACCTGCTGAATAGGAAGAAAGCAATCAAACTGGTGAAAATAGCAACTTGATATAGCACACAGGAAAGGACATGTAACTGGACAGCAGGGGCATGGGTTCTGGTCCTAGCTCTGTTACTCATTTATCCATTCACTCATTCGACAATACATAGCAACACAACATATATATATATACACACACACACACACACACACACACACACACACACACACATGTATATGTTTGGGCACTATTCTAAGTCCTGCAGATATTGTAGTGAAGAAGAAAAACATTGTGTTCACTCTTGTGGCACTTACCTTCCAGAGGAGAGTCAGTCAGGCCAACAGATGGGACAATATCCAGGGGAGAAGGATGTGATGTGATAGGGAGCGAAGGGTGGCTATTTCAGTGTGGTGGTCAGAAGGGCCTCTCTGAGTACTGACATTTCGGCTGAGATGTGAATGATAAAAAGGAACCAGTCGTTCAAGTATCAAGGGGAAGCGTTCTAGGAAAAACAGTCAGTGTTAGGTCCTAAGGCAGGCACAGACTTTATGTTTTCAAGAGACAGAAAGGCCAGAGTGGCTGGAGCAGAGAAGGCAAGGAGGAAATTAATATGGGGAAGTAGGCAGAAACAGATTATATCCTACTTTGAAGAATTTGAATTTTATGTCAAGTACCCTGGGAAGCCATTAGAGGATTTTAAGCAAGAGCATGACATGATCATTCAGGCTGCCCTGTCAAGAATGAATTATATGGCTGAACACAATGGCTCAGGCCTATAATCCCAGCACTTTGGAAGGCTGAGGCAAGAGGACTCTTTAAGGCCAGGAGTTCGAGACCTCATCTTTACAAAAATATTTTTTAAAAATTGGTTGGATGTGGTGGTACATGCCTGTAGTCCCAGCTACTGAGGAGGCTAAGGCAGGAGGATTGCTTGAGCCCAGGAATTTGAGATTACAAAGAGCTATGATTAGGCCACTGCACTCCAGCTATGGGTGACAGAGTGAAGCCCTATTTCAAAAAAAAAAGAAGACTTGATTATACAATAGTTATAGAGTCATCAGCTGAGAAGCTATTGCAGTAATCATTCAGGGAACAGATCATGGTGGTTTATACTAGAGTGATTATAATGAAAATGGAGAGAAGTGGATGAATTTAGAACATTGGAGATAAATGGACAAGACTTGCTGATGGATTGCATATGGATGACAAGAAAAGAGGGGAGTCAAGACTGGCTCCTAGACTTACAGGTTGAACAACTGAGTGAGTGCTCATGCCAATTACTAAAACTAGGAAGCTTGAGAAAGGAGCAAGTTTGGGAGGAAAACTTGAGTTCTTTATGGACAAAGTTATGTTTGAGATGCCTATTAGACATCTAAGTGAAAAAGAAAGAAGAACTTCTAAGAAAGAAGTTGGATATTCAAGTCAAATTTGAGGGACAAATCAGGGCTAGAGATAGGGATTTGAAAGTCATCAGAACACAGATGAAAGCCATGGGACTGGACAGGGCCACCAAGAGAGAACATTCAGAAAGAGAGGAAAGGGTGCCCAGGACGTATCCCTGGTACTTCTAATCTTCAGGGATTGAGCAGAGGAGAAGGAGCCAATAAAGGAGACAGAAGGAAAAGAGGATAGTGGGCTGTCACAGAACCAAGGGAAGAAATTGTTTCAAGAGAGAGAGAACAAGCAACTTTTGCTGAGAAGTCGAAGAAGATATGAACAAAGAAGTGACCACAGGACTTAGGAACATGGAGGTCACTGGTGACCTTCACAGGAGCAGTCTCTGTGGAGCAGTGGGGTTACAAGACCAGTTTGAATGGATTGAGGAGGGGAAGAGGAGACAGCAACACTCTCTCCATTTGAAGGACAGTAGAGAAATTAGTAGCTGAAAGGGAACATGGAGATTAGGGAGATGCTCTTGCATGCACAGAGGGACAACCCAGTAGAGGAGAAACACTGACTGTGCAGAAGGGGTTGTGGGGACGGCAAGAGCAGCCCTGGTGGGAAGAGGAGTGGGCTCCAGAGCACAGATGGAGGCGCTGGCTTTTGAGAGGAGTGGAGGTTCTGTGTCTGTAGAGACAAGAGGAAGGCAGAGAGCAGGCACCCCGGTGCAGGGAGCCCACACTCAGTGGTAAGAAGAGGCAGGGTTTTCTCTTTGTGTGACTGTGACTAAGTCACTCACCTGGCTGAGATGTGTGGGATAAACAGGTTTGCTCTGATCACGTGGAAGGGCTTCTGTGGACATGTCCGCTCCCCTAACTACACTTGTCTCAACGTCAGCTTTATTGGTAAGAGATACAGTGGGGCTCAACCCAAAACTAAAGAGAATAACAGCTGTTACCACAGGGCACTACACAGCAGGGCCCATGCAGGTGCGTTCTGTATGTTAGTGCGAATTGTTCCACAAGTGAAAGGCGGGTATTGCTACTATTCCTGTTAGGAAGATGATGACTTTTGCAGGCTTGATGGTAAAACAACAATAACAAAAACCAGAAGGGGAGGGAAGTGGTCATGCTACTTTTCTAAAGTGATGAAGTGAGAGTTTAAACCCTGATCCAAACCCATACCTTTAACCATTGTGTTCCATTGCCCAGCAGGGAGAGAAAGGGGAGAAAGGGCTGGGCTGGAGATGGGCCAGGGGTGGATGCCCTCAGGTTAAATACCTGCCCACCTGTCAGCAGAGCAAGGGGGACACCAACTGCTCGTCAACTCCCAGGAAGGGCTGAGGTCTGAATTTTCTGCAGCAGGTTCCGAGACTAGTGCTCCAGACTGCTTCACAAAGGCCACCTGAACCCGGCCGTGCAGTCCACAATCCAACACTGTTACCCACCAGAGTCTTGGAGCTGGGACATCTGCGACCAGTGCACCGGCTGACTCCTCAGTCAAGTTCCTGTGGCCTTAAGCTTTTCCAGATGTTTACCGGGAAACAATCTTTGTTCAGTTTTGCAATCCTGTGTAAAGCAAGGTCAGTTCTTCTGCACACACAGAGGGCCAGCGGGGCTACCTCCACACCCTCCAAATGGACAAAGTCCAGGACTTTTCAGTGCAGAAGCAGCAGGATTTCTGTTTCAATTTCCTTCATTTTCTAGACTTAGAAATCAGTGGAAAAAGCAAAGGTCTGGGAACAGGGAGATGGGGTTCTTGTCCTGGCTCTTTCACTTCTTAGCTGGGTGACCTTGGAGAGTTTCCCAAGCTTTCAGAGAGAGGTTTGGCTATCAGGTGTTTATAATTTGGAATCCATGGAACCCCATGGGAAGTTGGAGAGAATTGTATTTCAGTATAATTGAATTCCTGTGTGATCCTGCATGTTTTATTTTATGTATTTATGGATATTTTTTGCCAAATTACCAAAGGAGTCCGTGGTACAGAAATGGCAGGAACCCTACTAGAGGATCTCTGGGGTCCCTGATTCCCTGTTTGATTGGACATTCTGTAATTTCCATTAACATGCCTTCTGGGACCTGGACTTTTTCAACCAAGTCCATCTGAGTGTGGAGGAGTTAGGGGAAATTTCTCAATGCCAGGTCAGAGAGGTTGATAAACAGGAGGTGACTGAACAGACGGGCTGGGGCCCAGGCCAGCGGAGGGAGAGACCCGGGCTCTTGGGTCTCGAGTGCTCTCATCACCTGGGCGGAGGGGCTGCAGCTTCCACACACTCGTATGTGGATCTGGGGACCACCCTGAGAGGCGGGAGCAGCCCGCAGCCTGAGATGACTCAGAAGCCATGTGCTGTCTTGGGAGAGGAAGGACAGGGAGGCAGGAATGGTAGCAGGAGAACCGTAAGCTGGACCGTCCCATGTCATTTCCACTCCTGTCACACGGTTTCTGAGAGTAAAGTGCGATGTTAGCATAAATCCTGGTTAAAAGAGGGATCACTGACTGACCAGCCATCAGATACCGACACTGTGCTAGGTACTTTACACGCGTTATCTCTTTTCAGCCCATGGAACCATGGAAAGTGGGAGTGATTATAGCATCTCACGGGAGAGAGAACAGGCTCACAGAGGGTCACTCTTGTGCCCAACGTAGCACAGCGAGTGGCTGAACTGGGACTCACACCCAGGTCTATACGGCTCCAAAAGGCATGTGTCCCTGTTTGTAGAGCACTCAACGAAGCACTTCCGCATTTGCCTTCTGGTCTCTCAGCCCAGCATTGTCTCCTCCCTCTCGGACTGGGCCACACCCAACTGTGAAGGACAAGATTTCTATGTCTTCACTGAAGTCTCTAAGAAAATGGCCAGGTTTTATTTATGTATTTATATATTTATTATTTACTTTGTCAAACCCATTATTGTATTGTGTCTGGGGTTTTGTGTTTGGCCTGGAAGTCTTCTTTTAGAAGTTTTCTGCAATTAGTATTTACGAGTGGGTCCTCATTGGAACTATGCAGAGAAGATTATTGGATTTGAGAACCGCAGCACACTCTGTTAGAAATGGCAAGTGGGTTTTCACGGGCTACGTCTCCTTGGGGTGGGGGGAGGTGGGCACAGGACTGGGTAAGAGGGAGAAGAGATGACTGAGAGCCACAGATTTCACCGATTTCTGGATTTGGATGGGGGTTAATATAGTAGATCCATTATAGATTCAAGAGTGGAGCGATGCACCCCTGGTCCCACATGTCTTGCACGGGCTCTAAGAGCTAATATTTCAGAATTTTTTATTATAATGAAATATTATAGTCATCTTTGTGCTTTTCTTTTCCACACTTGTGTTAGTGACCCTTCCTCAGACCAATGGTCCTTACCTCTGACTACACATATCTAATGTTAGATGATAAACTTAGGCAAATAAAAAAAAAATTTGAGACAGGGTCTCTCCCTGTCACCCAGGCCAAAGTGTAGTAGTATCATCTCAGCTCACTGCCACCTCAAACTCCTGGGTTAAAGCAATCCTCCTGCCTCAGCCTCCCAAGTAGTTGGGACTACAGGTGCCCACCATCATGCTAATTTTTCTATTTTTTGTAGAGATAGGGTTTTTCTCTTAATCAGGCTGGTCTCAAACTCCTGGCCTAAATTCTTTGGCCTCAGCCACCCAAAGTGCTAGGACTACAGGTGGGAGCCACTGCACCTGGCCAGCACGTTAGGATTTCAAAGGGTTTACTTGAGCAGACAGTGATTCGTGAATCTGGCAGCTCCAGACCACAAGTGGTTCAAGGCTCCACTGAGGGGGCACAAGAGGAAAACTTTTATAAGGTGTTCATGAAAATAAGACAAAGAAAATATTTGATTGGTTATAGTGGAAGTCGCTAGTTAATTGCTGGTTTCTGATTGGTTAACCTTAAGTTTCATTTTTCTAGGCTATGGCCATTCACTCTGAGTTGGATTCCAGTTGCTTACATGGGAACTCAAGGCGCTGGAGTCATCTCAGCCTACTGGCCTCCCAATCAATTATTTTAACAATACTGATTCTTGGGCCCCACCCACAAAGATTCTGACTTAATGAGATGTGCGTGAGGGCCTGGGTATCATTAACCATTACGAGCTCCGCCAGTGGTTTCAGGAATGAGAACCACCGGGCCATGGTCTTACTTGCCTTTGGCCGTCCTGCTTGCTACTCCCTCTCCTGAAATGCATCCCTGCCCTCTTCACCCGGCCAACTCTTACTTGTCCTCGAGAATGTCTTCTCTGAAACCCTGGTTGGGCTGTGTGGCCCTCCTCTGTGCTCTAGGGCTGCCTGCACCACCCGGCTGGAACGCATCACCCAGCCACAGTGTTTGGTCTGCCTGTCTTCCCCGCAAGGCTGCGGTGGGAAGAAATGTGCGCTTATCTTTGCGGAAGCCCCAGCTTCCAGCACGGTGCGCGGCTCAGTGAATGTTTGTTGGATAAACAGGCATGAAGATACCTGTCGGTAAAAGAACCAAGGCCCTGAAGACAGCCTCGGAGGGCCCGGTAGGAGTTGTCTGGGGAGATGCAAAGTTGAATGTGAACCAGACTTCTGGAAATACATTTGTTCGGTTTTTTAAAAAAGCTCTTTCATGTGCTGTCACAACCTACACCGCAGCAAGCCTTGATGTCTGGGGCTGCAGCCCCAGCTACCACTGCGCAGCCATCACCCGGAGCGTCTGCCCGGCTTGTGAATCAGGCTGCCTCTTTGTCCCCCAGAGAGATGTTGTTTTTGTCTCAGAGGAACAAAGAAAACATTCTGACCACGAGAGAATGGCTTTCAGGGTTTTCCTGATGCCGCGATACAGAGAAGACGCTTTTATTTCTGTCTGTTCAGTGGGGACCAGTAGAGGCAGGGGCACGTCCGTGGCCTTCAGCCGTGAGACTCATATAAAGACACTGGTGGCAGAGCCTCCTTGGGGCCGGCGCTCTGAGGTTCCCAGCTGGGATAGTGCTACCCTTAATGAGAATGGAAAGGGAAGAGGAGAAGGAGGAAAGTAGGGAATAATTACAAGTTCTGTGGCAGGGATGTGCTTGGGTAGCCTGGCTTCAACTGAGGACCCGAGGGACTAGGCTTGAAAGGGGGGAGAAGGAAAAGTCAAACAAACAAACAAAAAAATCAACCCAAACCAAAAAACCAAACAATAGTACAAAAGCAGCACTGTTCCTGTGAACACATGGAGTGGCGGCGTCAGCCCAGCCCAGGTCACGGTACCAGGCCTCCCACGGCATCCGTGTTGGGCAAGGAGGAAGCACATCTCTAGTCCAGGGACAGCGTGGCCCAGAAAAGGGTCCTAATTATCACTTTAGGACATCCTGCCGAGCAGGGGGATAGCCACAGGATTTTAGATTTGGAAATCAGATGAGTGGAGGGTACATTCCAGTTCTTCTATTATGGGAACCCTGCAGTGTAGACGGCCAAATAGACTAATTCAAGTGGCATAGTGAACGTTCCATCTTGAATTATGCAGATTAACTTCTAAATTTTAAATTATCCAACCAGATAACTAGGCCAACTCTTCAGGCCTCACTGGGATCTGCAGAGACAGTTGCAGGTTTAGATGTCAGGAGGCTGCCTTAGACCGCATCTGCGTCTGACACATGTGATCTCTTATGCGCCCAGCTGTTGGGCTGACTGCGTGCTCTTTACGGCCCTTTGCTTTCCTGAGCATCTGTGAATTTATGGAGACGCAGAGCTAAACAGCTTTAGGGACAACCTGCTGTGCACAGTCACTGGATGGGCAGCAGAGGGAGGAGGAACTCACGTGACTGGGCACATACGCTGTGTTGCGAGACCCTACTCAGAACTGCTGGGGCTCTTGGGGAGGAGGCAGTTTGTAGCCTCCTCTTGCTGATGTTACAGCCAACAAAGATATATCTGGTTTTGTCTTACTTTGATTTTGGTATCTTGGCAGGTCATTATTATTGACCTGGAGGGATTGAATCTGTGAGGATCTCATAACAGCTCAGAATAACAGTTAAAGAATCCTCTTCGTGTTAGGTTATGGGAAGGGCAGGTCTGTGAGTTGAGACACGAGGGCTGCAGGCCCAGCTTAGCCATCAGCTTGCCACTGGCCCTGGCAATACACTTCCTCCACTCGGATCAAAGTTGCATCCTCGTTCTGGCCACTTTAATGTCCTGTGACTATGATTTGGTACCTAGTATGGGAGGAGATCAGGACCCTAGACAGGTCACGGGAGTCAGAATGGGAAGTTAGGAGAAGGTGATATTGGCCTGGGAGCCGTCAAAGCCCTCGGGTCCCTGCATAGCTCTGCGTGCATCCTCAGGTGTTTGACGTCCTCGGGCTGCTGTCTCTCTCCCTCCCAAACCGTCAGCTCTCACCAAGGCCTGTGGGCCTTCTGGAAGCACCCAGACACAGGGCTCTCATTCCTTTTCCATTTCTCATTCCTTACCATGGGGAAGGGGAGCCAGAGAGACAGGGGAAGGGGTGGCACATGGAGAGTGCAGGTGGGGAAGATGCTTCTATTTTGCAACAGTTTGTTGCAGGCCCTCCAGCCTCAGTACTGGGAGAGGGCTGCACTGCTGGGTAAATAGCATCTGCCCTTCTGTTCAGATGAAATTGTTTATCTGAAACGGGAAATGCAGAACACAGATTCTATTTTTCTGCACCACGTTACTCTGATGGGAATAATAACAATTGTGCAACCCAGAGTGTGATTATTAAACC